GTCATTGAAATAATAATTTCTTGAGTTATTCACTTGGAAAGCGCGTCCAGTTTGAGCACCGCGATTCCCTTCAGTGGAAAAGCCCAAAATCAGCATTCTCCACTTTGGAGGGGTAAATTCCCAATCCTCATTGGCCAAAGCTTTGTTTGATCCCTGCAGGATGCAATGGTCACAACTTCACAAGAGGCTAGAGCTCTGACGTAGCTCTTGGCCTGTGCCTGAAGCTCCCAAAGGGTTCAACAACCGAACACGCCATACTACATAGACAGGGCAACCCCCAACTTGCATTGCATTCTGCAAGACAACGATGAAGTTGAGATTATCGCTCGAATCAACATGACAGAAAGCTCGCCAAAGCCTGGCGACAGCGAAACAAAACCCGACACGACATCAACACAAACAAAAGCCAAACCAAGCCACGGAAAGCCACCAGATAAAACACGCTCAACAAAAACAAATCCATCAAATGCTTCTACGGTAGAACAATCCAGCGATGGAGAGGATGACGAGGATAATGATGAGGGAGAGGACGAGGACGAGGATGAGAGTGAGACGGAAGCCGGTGAGGGCGACAGCGACGACAACAACAGCAACAGCAGCGACGACAAGGAAGATGACGAGGAAGATTCCGAAGAGGAGGAGGACGAGGAGCCCAAGCTTAAATATGCCCGACTGACCCAGCATTTGGGTCCCGTTTACCGGAATGGCGATGCGACGAGTGCCTTTATTGTAGCGGGAGACAAGACGATTCTAGGTACACACAATGGCAACATTCATGTCATCCAGTTACCGGCCTTCCAGTCCCTCCGAGTTTACCATGCCCACTCTGCGTCCGTTACGTCGCTCTCGATTTCACCGTACCCGCCGCCGCTCTCTGCCTTCAAGCCCGATGTCGATGCGCCCCCTCAGAGCCCGCGCCGCGCTGAGACGATGCCTCTCCATTCGTCGGCCGCATCTGCTTCACGACGGCCGAGGGAGCAGCTGAATACCGTACCGAATACGCCCTCAAACAACATCTACATCGCTACCTCGTCCATGGATGGCAATGTTTGCGTGCAAAATCTCGTCGACGTGAGGGATGTGCACCTCCGCAACTTTGCGCGCCCGATTCAAGCAGTCGCGCTTTCTCCAGAATACAAAACAGACAAGACGTATCTTTCGGGTGGACTTTCCGGACAGCTTATTTTGACGGTTGGCGCACCAACAGGTCGAAGCACCGCGACTACCACAGGAGCAGCAGCACAGGCGGCTGGATGGCTCGGAGGCATGGTGGGGGCAAACACTGGAAAAGATACTGTTTTGCACTCGGGTGAAGGTACAATCAACACCATCAAGTGGTCGTTATCGGGAAGATATGTTGTCTGGCTGAACGAGCATGGAATCAAGATTATGCGCACCAAACTCCACCTCGACAGCACCGATGCCGAGGATGCTTGGAAGCGCATAGGCCATATCGACCGCCCTCAGAATGCCGAGTGGGACACAATGGCCAGCGTATGGAAGGGGAGAGCGGAGTGGATAGACGAGCAAGCTGTTGAACCGGACGAGCCCGTCAAGGAGCCTACTAAGGAACCAACCCAAGAAGTTCTGGCGCCACAGGCGGCCGCTTCGCTCAAACAGCATTCGCTCAAATATAAGATTGTTGAACGTTTGCTTGTAGGATGGGGAGGAACTATATGGATAATACACGTTCATCCCGGCGGGATCGGCATTGGAAAGAATGCTGGTGAGAGGTCTGCGGGTCGGGCCGAGATTGTAAAGCTGTATGTGGTGCTCCTTTTTTGTTACTGTTTTGGTCTTGATTCTAACCCACTCACTGCGCAGACTTCGCATGGATTGCATTATTTCCGGCATTTCGTTATATACCCAGAACTTGGTATTGGTTCTTGCTTACTGCTTACCGGATGAAGATGAAGAGGAGGAAGGAAACGCGTCTCGCGGCCATGAACGCACCCTGTCTGGTGGCAGTGAGCCTTCAGGAGGAGTTAAACGACGGCAGAACAACCCGCCCCCAGAACTACGGCTCATTGATCTCACGTCCCAAGCCGAAATTGGGATGGACAGTCTCACTCTGAGCCGTTTTGAGAGGCTTTCCTCCAATGACTATCACCTTGGTGTATTACCAGGTCAGACTGTCGCCGCCACCGCATCGAATAAAGGCGCATTGGAGACCTTGGCCGGGTTGGGAACCGACATGTTAAACGTGGCCCTCAATCCCATTTCCCTGTTCGGCTCATCGGCAAGCGTGCGGAGCAGGGACAGCAACGACAGTCCAGCTTCCTCATCGAGGATGCATCATGCTGCTGCTGCATTCTCTCGACCGGTCCGTAATGCTGTTCATCCGAATCTCGCCAAGCCAGGCATCAAGATCTTCATCCACAGTCCTTACGACTGTATCTTGGCAACAAAGAGAGATTTGGCAGATCATTTAAAATGGCTGTTGGATCATCAACAGTATCAACAAGCATGGGAATTGGTCGACGAGCATCCGGAAATCATGGTGGCTGCTCCGGAAACAAGGCCACTGTCGCCAGAACACACCCATATTATGGATGAATTTTATGACGATTCTACGTCGGCAGCTGAAGAAGCCTTGCGGTCATTTTACTCATCTGCAGAAAAAGAGAAGCGTCGGATCGGTGAGCTCTGGATTCAGGAACTCGTTGAGGCTGGCAATTGGACGCGAGCGGGACAAATCTGTGGCAAGGTTCTTGGAACTCCCGACCGGTGGGAGAAATGGGTGTGGACGTTTGCCAATGCGCACAAGTTTGACGAAATTGTAAACTACATACCGACTGAAAGGACGCGGCCGCCAATCCCTGGAACCATTTATGAGGTTGTGCTCGGTCATTACTTACAGACCAGCAAGCCTCGGTTCCGCGACCTCCTCGAGCGCTGGTCTCCAGATTTATTTGAGATTATGACCATTACAACAGCACTCGAAGACCAGCTCAAGTTCCGCGACGTCCGTGAGGATAGTGTTGAAGATGGTGAAGTCGGCCGTGATTGGCGGATTGTCATGGAAAGCCTCGCTAAGCTCCACGAGGCCAACGGGAGGAACCGCGAGGCTCTGAAATGCTACATAAAGCTTCAGGATGCCGACTCGGCGATGAGGCTCATCAAAGACGGTCATCTTGCCGATGCTGTTGCCGATGATATCCCCAGTTTTATTGGGCTTCGTGTTCCTCACGCCAGCAAGATGTCGCAGGAAGAGCGTGAAGCGGCGACATCTGAGGCGATCACTCTCTTGGTTGACGAAGCGCAACATGGCTTGGTCAAGCCTGATGTGGTTGTAAGCCAACTACAAAACAGGAAGCTGGAGGTCTATAACCTCTATACCTTCTTTTACCTCCGCGGGTTGTGGAGGGGTGAAGGCATTCACGAGCATTCTGGCGAATCGAAAGCTCGGCTGGTGACAGATAGTCAATCCCTGGTTGACAACTTTGCTGATCTTGCTGTGCATCTCTTTGCCAAGTACGATCAGTCTCTGCTTATGGATTTGCTCAAAACCTCGACTGCATATACGTTTGAGAAGGTGTGTTCCTCTCCTCACGAATACCGTGTGCCCTTGCTAACGTTCTTGACAGGCCGTCCACGAATGTGAAAAATACAGTTACATCCCAGAGTTGGTCTATCTCTACTCCAAGACAGGCGACTCCAAACGCGCTCTGTACCTCATTATCGACCGCCTCGGCGACGTCAGCCGCGCCATTGCCTTTGCCAAAGAACAAGATGACCCCGAGCTATGGGAGGATTTACTTGCATATAGTATGGACAAACCCCGGTTTATCCGTGGACTACTTGAGGAAGTCGGCACGGCAATCAACCCCATCACCCTTGTTAGACGTATCCCTGAAGGACTGGAAATTGAGGGTCTCCGTGAAGGATTGAAACACATCATGAAGGAGCACGAGATCCAGTACAGTATCAGCTCAGGTGTTGCCAGGGTTTTGCGAAGTGAGGTCGCTGCCGCGCAGAATTTATTGAGGAGTGGACAAAAGAAGGGTGTCAAGTTTGAGGTTGTTGTCAAGGGAAAGGATCATGTTGATGTGCAACCCAAGGATGTACCTACCGTTGTTGGGTCTGAGAAGAGTGCTGCTGTTGATGAGGCTAGTATGCATGGGGGAGACGCCCCGGCTAAACCACCTGGAGCGGGTAAGAAATGGGCGCCCGGACATTGTGCGCAGTGTCTAGAGCCATTTGTGGAATGGGAGATGGAGACGCTCGTTGGGTTCGCATGTGGGCATGTTTTCCATTTGCCCCATTTGTTAGAGAGGTTGAACCCGGGGCAAAAGGTGGATGAGACACTGTTGAATGGCGTTAATGGGTCGGATGGGTATGGATATGGAGGGTCTCATCATCTTATTGGACCTAAAGTTAATCATGCTAGGTTGTTGAGGGATAGGATTGCTGGGGGTTGTCCTGTTTGTAGAGAGGCTGAAGATAGTTGAGAGGGAAGGGATGTGTGTATATGGTTGAAGAGGAGTGGGAGAGTTGTGTACATACCTGGTTTGTTTACTGGTTTGAAGTTTTATCTTTCTTTCGCCGTATCTTCCGTCCGTTGTCTTTTTCAGGTAAGTACTAGGTAGTGTTATGTGGCACATGTGAGTTGGTTGTTGCACAGACATTGGGATTACGTCCGAGTAAGATCGGCATAATATCGTTGATGAGCAAGCTTGCTGTTTCTATAATTTACAATCCTTCCGTAGTTACAAATCACCAGGGTTTAATAATTTTCCGGACTTTATCACATTTGTATTCTTGAATACCAAATTTGAGCATATTGTTTCGTTGTGACTTGTTTGGTTACCGTCGTCAGAGGCGGCCAGTCAACCTTGGTTGTCCATGACTCCATCCATGTCATCATCAAACCATATTCAGAAGCAAGCCACAACCGCCCATTGTTCCACTTTCATGACTCTTGATTCAACCAAGGTTATATAACAAACTTTTCTGAGTAAAGATTTTAAACCAGGAAAAACCATCAAGTACACTAGACAGGACGTGTGGCTCAGTGGTATAGAGCGTCCCCTCTCTCCTTTCTGGATTTTAAGTTATTTCAGAGACTTATAACCCTCTCTGGGGCTAGAAGCCCAACCCTCCTTAATTCAGTTGGATGATGATGGGAAGATCTCCGGTTCGATTCCGGACACGTCCTTTTTTTTTATTAAAAACCCCTTTTTCTTTTTTTTCTTTTTCTGTTTTTCCCCTCCGTTTCTCGTACAATGCAATGTGCATCCATTCCGCTTTTCTCAACTGCCATGTTCACGTGGGCACCTGGGGTTTGCACACAGGTTTTTCTCCACTTGTATACTAGCGTAGTCTTCCATAGCTTCGCTTCCTCACGCAACGTTGTCATGTCTACCTAGATCCCTAATGAACTTTTCTGTCTTTTTTTGCTCTCTCTCGAGAGAACAACAGTTGGAATATAGGTAAAAATTGCAAAAATGCCTATCAGCTTAGTTTGACTTCATTACTCAAGGGCGTGTGGCTCAGTTGGTAGAGCGCCCGCTTAGCATCTACAGCAATGCGGAAGGTCCCCGGTTCGATTCCGGGCTCGTCCATTTCTTTTTCTATTATTTCAAGTGTTATTTTGTTTTTGTCTCCGTTTCATTTTGACCAAATTTTTATTCAACAAGTTTTCCAGTTATGTTTGGTAGATAGAAACAGAGGTGGTTTTTGCCTGATGATGATGTTGTCATACTGGCTTTGCATGTAATTTCACTCATCAGTTGAAACATAACGCCCCGTGCTCGTGCAACTGTGACTTGTTGGTCGCTGCGGACTATCTTTATTTCCACTCGCGTTATTACAAATACAAGTATAATACTAGAACATTCGAGATGCTTAGACTAGAGCGGGGAAATTTTCCAAGTTGCCTGGTGAAACCGACGCATTTTTAGTGTCGGTTTTGTGACAGGGTATCTTGGAAGACAGGAACGGGTAGTGGAGATAATGGTTTGGATGTTACGATACGAGTTAAAAGAGGGGTTACACAGATAACTTTATGAATGCCAAGTGGGTTCCAGGTTTTGTGTTGTCTATAAATATTTATAAAAGGGGAGTGTGTTCCTCTTTTATTTTTGTTTTGTTTTGTTGTTGACATCATTAGAACGTAATTCTTCAAAGTCTATATCAAGCCATAAAACGTCAATCTATCTTACCTCGTAAATTTACTCTCTACAATCATCAAAATGGCTCCCCTCGGCAAGATTTATACGTACCCTGATAACTACCGCGTTCAGCGGGTAAGTCATCATCATCATTATCATGAACCAATTTTACTGACAAACCTCCAGGCCCTCGCTCTCGCAGCCCTCAATGGACTCGAGATCGAAATCCCCGCCTTCCAAATGGGCGTAGACAACAAATCCCCTTCCTTCCTCTCCAAATTCCCCTACGGAAAAGTCCCCGCCTTTGAGTCCGCCGATGGCACTTTTACTTTGACCGAAGGCCAAGCCATCGCGCGCTACGTAGCCGACAGCGGGCCCAAATCCGCCCAACTCCTCGGCGCCGACCCTCAAACCCGTGCCAAAATCGAGGAGTGGGCCTGTTTTGCTGACCAGGAGTTTGCTGCCAACATGATCCCGGCTTTGTTGATGACTATTGCGAATATCATCCCATTTGATGCTGCTAGATACGCACAGTCGACTGCTGGGACTGAGAGAGCTTTGAAGAGGATTGATGAGGCGGTTAAAGGAAAGAAATTCGTCGTTGGGGATGAGCTTACTTTTGCTGATGTGATGCTTTTGGGTCCTTTGCAGCTTGCGACAAAGTTTTTGGTTGATGAGGAGATGAGGAAGAGTGCGCCGAATGTGGAGGGATATTTGAGGGGGTTGTTGGAGATTCCCGAGTTGAAGGCGCAGTTTGGGGATTTGGTCCTTTGTGAGAAGAGGGTTGGTGGACAGTAGATTTACTATTACTAGTATTTGTTTGTATAGACAATTGAAAGGTTAGAGAGTATTACTATTTTTTTATTTTTTTTTATTTTTTTTTTATTTTTGTTTTTAATTCTTTTAATTCTTCTTGATTTTTTTTTTTAATGTGTGTTTGAAGGGAAATTGTTCAGGAGACTTGGTTTCGACCCCAAGACGGATATCAAATGGTTTGTCGGCGGCGGGGGATGATTGTGGAAATTTGATCACGTACGTCGCTGACTATGTGTAACTACTCAAGACGTGCAATAACTGCAATTGGTTTTGAATGCAGGAATCTGGCCAATCAAGCCTTCTTTCCTAGCCTTTGGAGGACCTTGAACCCCTTTTGTGCCGCAGGCAAACGCAATCATACAATGATCACTCAGCTGCCTGTGCCGCGTTATTCAACATTTTGCATAACTTTATTCTGCATGCTGTCCCGTCTCATCGCTCGATAATACGCGGGAGCTTGGCTCAAGGGGTAACCCTCTGTCGATTTCTTTCAGCCTTGACCATTAAGAAGTGAGATCAACTGGCTGACTACCACATCTCCAAGAAATATTGATGAGGAAAACACCAAGAATGTGCCTCCGGTGGCTGCTTAGCAGAGGAAAGGGGATACGGCTCAGGCTGAGTATTGTGTATGAAGCACAAATTTATCTGCTCGACTCTTGGTTGAGGTATTGGAGTATCTCATGAGGCCTATCTCGACGACAGCATAAATAATGCCTTCTTTTCCCTCATCCTAGGCATTGAATTCCTCATCCTCAGATCAATCCAGCCATCTCACCGGATACCATCATTACACTCACTTACACACTCTTTGATCACTCACATCCATTCTTTCAACATCAACCACATTCATTCACTCATTCAAAATGATTCCCGCCAAGTTCATCGCTTTTGCCTCTCTCCTCCTCGGAGCTCTCGCCACTCCCATCGCCAGCCCTGCTGCCGAGCCCGAGGCCGAAGTCGCCATTGGTTCTGCCTCTCTCATTGACGAACGCGGAGAGATCGTCAAGCGCGTTGAAGGCGTTCACTTGATTAACTGCGGCCCGACCGTCAACAATGCCTTTTCGTGGAGGTACTCGGTTATTGTTGTAAGTGTATCCATAAAAAGAAAAACAGAAGTCGTACATCTGACACAGACTTCAGTACTGCCCCAACGATGGCAACTGCCGCTATGCTCCCAATAACAGCAACTCCTGCAAGTACAACTATGTCCTCACCTGGGAAGGCGGCGAAAAGTCGTGCAAGTTCTCCACCGGCGTGACCTTCCGTTGGAACATTATGTCCAACGCCCAGAGTCTTGCTAACTGGTCCAACGTTGGGTAAGTAATGTTTTATGATTACATGTTTGGGCATTGATTAACCATTTTCTGTTTTATTCAGATGGGGCAATAACGTATATAAGCAATTCGTGATCCGCAAGGATGATAAGAATGTCTTTTATAAGGATGCCAGCGGATACGACTGCCGTAGCATTTACTACTCTTTGCCCAACTAAGAGAGGTTGTAGATGGCCAAGTATCCAAAATGGTGGCCTTTTGGAAAGCGTTGAAAAGGTTGTCCTGGAGGTCAGTATCCGGAGGATGAGAGTTGAGAGAAGGCGGAGGAAGAAAGTGGTTTTTTGGTGGCAGTGGAAGTCGGTGAGATGGTTGTTTTAAAGATAGAAAAGAAAATAAAAATATAAACAGGTATTTTGTGGTGGAATATTTTTCTTTCTCCTGGTGTTTATGGTTTAAGTGTCTCAGGGGCATTGACACTGTTTGACTCCTCTTTCAGCCGAGCGAAAAGATCCATTTTCCCCGCGTGACAAACAGCTGACGTCATCAATTTGCCTTCTCATCTGCCATCGTCAAATATCTCGTGTGCGTTCTCTTTCCATTACAATTGGCATCAATTTATATCAAGAAAGTAAATAAAACAGTAACAAAAACCAACAAACATGGATTCTTTCAATCCCCTTTCTGATCGCGAAAAAGCATTTGAGAATCAGTACATCAGGGAGAAGGAGTGAGTTGTTGCATTTTTGTTTGCTCCTATTGACCAACGCGGGAAAACTGAGGTATCTTAATTCAGGATGGCCATGGCAAAAGAAAGAGCAGCTGCCAAAAAGCAGGCTGCAAAGGGAAGCGGCTCGTCCAGTGAGCAAGGGAAAGAGGATGCAAAGGAGCAATCTAAGTGATGCAGGGAGCACTCATCTAGGAGTGGGGGAGCGGTTCGTCCACTGAGCAAGGGAATGAGAAGTTCAAGGAGCAATCCTAAGAGAAAGCTCATATCTGTTATGAGGGTAGTAGAGGGGATCGTTTTGCCATACAAAAAATAGAGTCCACTAACAGAGACAAGAAGCTGCTCGGCCACTCCACTTGACAAACCAAGGAATGACTGACTGCCAAAGTGATGGCAGGGGGAAATTCTTCCAGGAGCGCACGTCTTGAGGCATTCTTTAGTTGGAGAAGGTGCTCAAAGAAGGACGCGAACAAAAGTCAATTGACAACAAACAACAATAAAAAAGCCACCTAACAAAATACCCAATTCCTGCTGATGCTTAGCAAACAATTATCCTCCGCAGTCCGCACCAAGTCACCCCGACCCTGAGCCCACCCACCCTCTCACTCCCTCACCTCAACCTCCCCCATCACCGACACAGAATCTCCTTCCCCACCACCTCTCAACCCCATCAACCGCATCCTCCTCTCCAACCCCTCCAAATCCCCAAACCCCCCACCACCAACCATACTCCCCCCATCATTACTAAACGGACTACTAGGATAAGTATTCGAATCATGCGAACTCCTAACCGCAAACCCCCTCAACACAGTCCTAACAGCTTCATCCTTGATAGTCGCAACCATCCACTCCAAAACTCTATTTCTTCTCTCCGCCTGTTTTTCCTCTCCAACCAAGACGTCGGGAACTTTCCACGCGTGATAAAAATTATGATGTCCGGGTCGAACTTTAATCGGTAGCTCCTGAGTAAATGTCCTTGGAGCTTGGAAATAAAGCTCGCAGAGTCGGCAGGTTGGTTTACTACATCCTATGTATCTTCCGAAAACTGCTTCGTTGAAAAACCGGATATGATGATCACCTGAGTCTCCTCTTTCAGCACCGAGGATATGTTCAGCGAGTAAAACCTCGGCGTGAACAATAGGTAAAAAGTGTTTACGTTTGATAGCCTCGCTAATTCCTTTGTCGAGTTGAGTGATTAAGGATGGTTTGGAGTTTATGACGGATTGGACGGAGGGGTCTTTGCTTAGACGGGTTATGATTCCTGATGAGGAACGACGGATTGAAGGGGGATCGGCGGATGGTTCGCTGGAGGGAATGGGGATTATTTCAAAGGATTCGAAGAGATCTCGCCAGCGGAGACGGACGGAGAGGAAAGTTTTTACGGCGAGGGTGTAGGCTTGGAGACGACCGATTCCGTGGTAGAGTTGGGTCCAGGGGGTGTGGTTGGAGTCTTCGCGGTCTTGGCGGGTTTGGGAGGAGAGGTATTGTTTGAAGCGGGGGAGGTGGTAGGAGGTGCTTATGGAGAGGAGGAGTTGACGGGTGTGTTGGATGACTTGAGAGAAAGAGGTTAGTTGGTACTATTGAGGGGTTTGGGATGGAGGAGGGAAAGCTGACATTGGGCGTTGTCTAGGCCT